TGTGCTTGCTCGGGAATGTTGTCTGCGGTGTTGGAGCACCGCCGTCCTTGCAGCATCGGTCCATTGACACGATGGCTCAAGTTTTTTCGGCTCTGCAAGTGGCCCGCGCCACGATCCTGGAGCTCGCGCGCGGGATCAGCACCGGGGCGGCCCTGTGGGGCGCGACCCATCCGTGCCCGACCTGTGCGCCTGTCGTGTACTGCCCAGCGGTGCCCGCCTCGACGTGCGTCTGCCCGACGCCCTCTCCGCTGGCGGTGGCTGGCGGCGCGCTGTTGGTGGCGCTGCTCATCATCGGCGCCTACCTGCTGGGCGCGCTGTGGGGGCTGCCGACCCGCGAGGTGCGGGTAGGGCACTCGCCCGTGCCGCAGGTGGCGGTGACGGACGACGCGACGGTGCTGAGGCAGCAGGCGCAGGCGCAGCTCACCTTCGTCCGCAGCCGAGGCTCCGCCGTGCGTCACGATGGCGCTTAACCCTCGGGACTATGTGCTGGTGAGGTATCGGGGCGTGCCAGGCCCCGTCGTGCATCATGTTCGACTGGTGGTGGCTGTCCGTCCAGGGACCGCCGACTGCTACGGGGTGACGCCCGACCAGGACCACTATGAGGAGACGTATGCAGTGGGCTTGGACTTCGAGAGTGTGCACATCCTGTCGCACGCGCTGGAGGTTCCTGCAGGAGTGGTGGCGGCTCAGATCTATGGCTTCAGGGCCGCGCCAGCTCAGGCCGTCGTCGACGCGTACGCGATGCTGGGGGCCCACACCCTAGGCGTGCAGTGCGCGCCGCTCCCGCTCGTCGCGCACTACAACCCGCCCGGCGCGGCAGCAGGGGCGGCAGCCGCGGGTGCCGGTGTCGCGGCGGCAGCCGCCGCGCCCGCGCCCCTGGCGGCGGGAGCGGTGGTGCCCGCCGGGGGGGCAGCGCCGGCCCCTGGGGCAGGAGCGCTCGTGCCCCCAGGCCGCGAGGCCGCCGCCGGCGTCGACGGCGCCGCCGCGGGCGCCGCGCTCGGCATCCCGCCCGGGCTGGGCGGCGGTGCCGCCGCAGCCGCCGCTGCGCCTGGAGGAGCGCTGGTGCCGCCGCCAGGCAACTGCTGTGGTACGCGTTGGAGGATCGTGCTGGCTACTCGATCGGGGACCTCGTCTGCCACCAACTCCCAGTTGGCGCCCTCAGCCTTGGAGATCGTGCCATCGTCCACGGGGCTGGGGTATCCATCTCAGTGGCGCTGCTCTCGGTCGCCGACGCGCTGGTGCTGGCGAAGGGCGACGCCCGCGCGATGGCGGTGAAACATGATGTGCAAGGCGAGCGCCGTCGCACATGGGACGATGCGGTTGCCAGCTCGTCTAAGGAGCCGATCCCTGGCGGCTGGGACTTGCAGGGTCCAAGGACGGTCCTGGTTCATGAAGCATGTGAGGGACAACGGGAACAGTGCCTCCCACGCCCGCGAGAACTGGGTCCGCCTCTCGAAGGTGCCGTCGGGGGACAGGAGCGTCTACGAGCATGAGGTGTTTAGCAGGATGTTCGACGCGGCGGTGATGCATGACCAGCTGAACTGCCCGTCGTTGCTCGCGTTCGAACTCATGTCGAGGAGGCTCGCCCTGATCAAGGAGGCCCACGGAGTCTCGCCAAGCCAGCCCGACTACACGGCCGCCGATCAGTTCATGGGCTGGAGCCGTCGTGCAGGAGGCGCGGCGATCTCGCCGGGCCTGTTGGCCCACGTCGCAGACCAGCTCAAGCAAGAGGCAGCGATCATGAAGGAGGCTCGCAAGGCGAGGGAGGAGGCCGTCGCACGCAGCAAGGGTCGTGGCAGAGGAAGTGGCCAGCCGCCTGCCGGAGGCGGCGGGGGCCAATGACGCGCCGCGGGCCGAGGGGGCGGCGATTGGGCCCGCCGCCCCCCCTTGCTCGCCACCCCAGCTACCCCCTGCCGACGCAGGGTAGCAAGGGGAGGCGTGTGCCCAGGGAGCTCTTCCCGCTCCCGATTTTTGAGGAGGCGACGCCGGGCGCCCCGCATCTCTCTCGCTCCGTTCGCCAGCGCCTACGACATCGGCACGCCAAGGGAGTCAGGGCCAATGAGTGCATCGAGGCCTTGAACGAGCTCTACGGCACGCCATCTTCCTCGGCGCAGGCGCCGCCCCCGGCGGACAGGAGCGCGGCCCAAGCAGCGGCTCGGCGCACAGTTTTGAGGCATGTTGATCCCGCTCGAGTGCCTTCTTTTTCGCAGCAACGAGAAGCCGTCCGCGAGCTTCTCGGCTCCGACCTCGTCTACGACAGTGGGGAGGTTCCAAGTACTGTGGCCAGAGATGACGCTACGCGGATCGCGGTTCCGGAGGAATTGGAGCAGCCTCCAGCCGCACTTGATGTTCTCGAT